CATATTGAGGTCTGAGAACTTTGCAATACGCAAATGTACATCCTGTGGTCTGAGAATTTTGCAATATGCCTATGACATTTTGAGGTCTGAGACAAAAATACTCACCTAATGTACCAACTGTTGCTTTCTTTTCATCAATCTGTAACCTATGTATAGCTTCCGTCACTGAGAGTGGAAACTTATCATCTTTGACATAATGCTCTAATATTCTGACCTCTGAGATGTACGGTTCACATTGCTGACTCCTGTAGTATCCACTCTTGTAATCCTCAGCTTCAATATAAGTCTGTAATGTGATAATGTAATACTTGTGCTCATTGAATGTATAAAACAGAATATGTAAGATTTTTTCTGATTGGCTACTAATTTTGGAGATATCAAACCACTATGCAACGATCATTTCTATTGGCTAATAATCTAAATGTTTTAGTTTCATGAGACAAATTTTCACAAATTCAGGAAAAATCTAAAAATATTATGGCAGTATATGTATACAGTTCAATAGGTTTTATGCATGACCTCCAAAAGGTCACACATCCTGGTACTAAAAATGCCAGGATGTGGGTCATCTATAAGCCATATCCATACTGTTGCATGAATCCATACTGTTGCATGAATCCAGGATGACACAAGATGTCACCATCCAAAGTCCTAATTATGTCCATGATAAAAATTGCTCTTTTAGTGAAATTCAGCTTTAGCTCTTGAAAGAATCTGACTGATAGAATAACAGTAATTGAAACTATCATTACCTCACTTCTGGGTAGTATTCTGATGAGAATAGAGCATCCTGGTACATTGGGTAATGCATCCATTGAGTTACCATTCAGTGGTTTACTGGTATCCGGTAATCCTGATTTAATCCGCAGTTGAAATCCTCCAACATTCAACTTGTACTAAAAATCACAATAAAATCACAAATATTATAGATTCACCAAGTCATTTAAATTAGCTGCCATCCTTAACCAAAATCCTGGGGAGAACACTGTAGGTTGCTTGCTGCATATGAACTCCCTAGCTATTAGACAAATAGATTGCTACACAATACCTCCAAACGTATATGATATATTGTTAAAAAGTGTCACACATGAACCCCCTAGCTCGCTCCAAAAATTATAAGTAACACACGATTTGTTATTCGTTTTAATAACACTTTATAGAGAAGGAATAAATCGATAATCCTGACCTGGTCTCCTTGCTTAGTAAACAATTGCATCATACAAGATCCAATTACAACCAATTCCTTAGTATCTTTATCTACTGTATAAACCCTTAATATGACTAGATTAGATTCTACTAATCCCTCCTTTACTGGGTACTTGTACTTGAACACAGGACAACGTGCTGGACCTTTGACACTGGGATATGCAGCTATATCTTCTAAAGACTTGACTGCTGGGGTCATCAGACGACCAGTGACCTGAGAGTAAAATCATTGTGATTATGATTACAGTTATACACATACTAACAGTTTGAGGAAGTACATATTCCTATGCTCTATAGGAAGATTTGATAATGGGTGTCTTATAAATTTTAAATTGTAAGCCCTGCTTCAGTGGTTCTGAGACTTTTAAATCCATAACTACTCGGTAGATGAAATTGAGGTGATAACATCAGTCTATTTCACAGGCTCCTAATCACTCAGAGATCACAATAATCATTGCATAATGAGACACACATATGAATACAAATTAGATGTTTCTTATTATCATGTAGTTAGGACCAATACAATTATATCATACAATATAATACTAGTGGTTTCCTGGTCAATTCTGGATCGAGAATTCAGTTTATGACTCATTTTAGTCAAATTAACATCTACGATAATCATCATCAAAGAATTTTGTGTATTTGTAGACAACTTATTGTTAATAATAATATTAAATACGACTTATTATGATCATTGGTTTAGGCTTATGTGATGATAGGCCTCTGTATTATACTTTGATGATAGGCCTCTGTATTATACTGTGATGTACCCATATTATATCTCTATTATACATGAAGTAAATGAATACCTTGTATACTCACCTTTATAATGGTGGCATTATCTGGAATGTACTGAACACCATCAATGTAGAGATCCAAACCATCTTTAGGATCAGTAGGAGATGGTAACACTGCAACACTGGGTTTATGTGCCACCCATGGATCACCTTCTAAACGGGGATTGAAATCCTCACTGCATGTGCAAAGAAATCAAAATCAAAACAATAATATTTTACATTTGTTTACAGAAAAATATAGTATGAGAATTTGTTATATAATGTATCGGTATTGTAGTGTAATGTAGTATGGTATAATGCATTGTGATATACTGTAGAATAATTTATTTTAGTTGGAATTAATTTTCGCTGAAAGGACTTTTTGGGTGTTTTGTATGGAATTTAATTTCACTGATTTTTGACGAGTTGAATGTAAAAGATAGGAAAAATGGTATATTCACTGGATTTTATTTTCACTGAATCATTCATTCCTTCAGCAAAAATAGGGAAAATTAATTCCAAGCAAAAATAAAGTATTTTACAGTAATTGTAAAGCACTCTAGTATAATGTAGGATGGTATAAGATATTGGAATTTATGCATGTTGTAATGTGTATGCAAGGTAGCATAAGGTATTATGCTTACATGTATTGTGATGTAATGCAGTGTGGTGTAACATAGAGTGGTATATGGTATCGAGACGTAATGTTTGCAGTGAAGTGACTACACTGTAATACATTAATATCAATGTATTACAGTGTAGTGTAGAATTAGTGGGGAAAGAAGACCCTGTTGAGCTTGTCAAACCTTAACAAACATAACATCGTAATGCATATGGTATAAAGGGAATGTGATGTAGTATTTTGACCTCATGCATTGTAAGGGATAGTGGTGTATCATGTAATCATGTGATGCATAACATATCTATGTATTATTGCATATCTCTCACCTTGGAGAGGGACTTATAGGTCTTTGAGCTGGTTGTTGCGGTTCACCTGGTCTAGCTGGTGGGGGCGGTGGTGGTGGTGTTGGTGATTTTATTGTTGGTGGTTCCACCTCCAAATCAAACACTCTGAATTCTAAATCAGATCCTTTCTGTAGAAAATCTGCAATGCAGGAAGGGAGTATTATTTATACAGCAAAATACCTAAAATATTGTTGCCCAGCTAGACTTGCGATGGATATTGTCAATTTCCACTGCTAGAATTAATGTGATTCAATAATTTTAGGGCATTTAGGAGGGCAAAATTTTGTGAAAGTCACTTTAACTCCCTAAGACTACAATGAAAGTCACCATGACTCCCTAAGACCCCAGTAAAAGTCACTGTGACTCACAGAACTCAAGTATAAGTAACTGACTCTCTAGGACCCCAGTCAAAAACAGTGTGACTCTCTAGGACCCCAGTCAAAAACAGTGTGACTTCCTAGAACCCCAGTAAAAAGCACTGTGACTCCCTATAACTTCAGTGAAAATCACTGTTACTCACTCTCCAATTCTGATCTATCACTGCCAGAAATTGCTATGTGAAAAAGCACTGAGTTGCAACAAGCCCTACCTACAGTAGGTCTCCCTAACATGTGTTTCCTACAATCTGCAACAAATTTTTTGGCCAATATGCCAAAATTCATCTTTCCACAATCAAACATGAGAATAGTCTGACATTGTCTTTATGCTGTTTTTTGTTGTATATAAATTTATTTTTGATTTGTCAAATGATATAAAATGATGATTGACTCATTCTCACAGTATATTTAATCAAAGATGCACATAATAAGTATTAAAAGTATAATTCTGAATGAATATTTACTAGCGACTGAGTTTTGAGATGAGCTGCTGTCATAACATGAGTAGATCAAACCCGATAAGGCAGAATAAACCCTGACGTTTCAGACTCAAAATAATTGTTTTTTTCTGTTACATACCATCTTGTGTATAAGTAACTTCAGGGTCTACTATTTCAAGCTGTTGGTCCGGCGCAGCTCCAGGTCTGATTGAATGCTTCTTATCGCCTGCCAAGATAACCCATGTCGAGGAGGGCTGTTCATCAACAGTCTGTTTTTGTTGTTGTTGATCTACATTCTGCTGTTGTTGTTGTTGATCTACAGTCTGTTGTTGTTGTTCATACAAGGGCAGCTGAACCCAGCCAAGGTTCACAGTTTGTATTTGACCATCTATATCAAAACATTATAAACTCATTATGAAAGCAGAATTGATACTGTGTAATATCGAAGCAGAATAAATGAGATACGATAGACCCTCTCACAATGGGTTCTACATGACTCACTATGTATCATAAGTCATAAAATACATCACAGTTAGGTATGCAGTATGTGACCTCTTGAGTATAAACACTTTTGTAAATGTTACCACCCTGAACATGAGGCAGTATTGTCTACCTTCATGCTCAGACTTACTTTAATTGTTCAAGGGGTACTATTAGTAACAGAAGAAGACGACTAGAAATTAACAAAGAATGATATACAAGTGTGAGTGATAATATATTGTGCATTTTGCACCAGAAATCCCATACTGTGGGATCATCATAATGGCCTAACAGCAATGTAATGTGCTTTACAAGCACCAAGAGGCCTTGCTGGACCTTAATCAAGGTTATCCCAAAGATAGTGAATGAATCTCCACCAGTGGATTCAACCAATCACGAGTCTGGTTGTACAGCCACTAGGCCACCAGCGATCAGTATTTGTATTCAAATCTACAACTATTCTTATATTTGACTATACAGACTTTTTCAGATATTGCTTTTAGTTTTTGATCAAAAGGTTGCCAATTTTATCAACCTTTTAGTGGGTAGAAGCAGACTGTACAAAAATATTTTGTAGATGGTGTCAAAATGTAACTAAATATGTGATTCATATCTAAATACTGGTTGTAATAATGACACACTAACCTTTCCCAGGTGGTATCTGATATAAGACCTTGATAATAGCATAGGGATGGCTATGTTTACCACGGGCGCCATGGAAACCTGATGGGTCTAAATTATAAAAAATCATCTCTTCTTCAGGTATCTCCACATAATAAGTCTTTTGGTTAGCCTGAGTGACTGATTGATTGGCATGCCTGGCTTTCACATTGGAATGAGTGGTTCGCAGCTTTATTTTACCGTAGAATACTGACACCGCTACCTTGACATGGTCTGGTTCGAAGTAGGACAGAGCACGAAACTGTTCCTGTAAGGGAGTATCAAAATAAAACATCTATTCTTGCTGTACTGATGTGTTAATTGTATACTCAGTATGTAAAAGTCTGTTATATCATCAAAATTATTATAATGAAAATGAATTTCTGTCTACAGTGCATATTGATTGAGGAGTTGATTCAATGTGGCATTTTGTGTTAAACAGAAAATTTAATGTTATGTGATGTGATGCAGTGCAATATAATGTACCATGATGTAATGATATGTAATGTAATGTGATGCAGTGCAATATAATGTACCATGATGTAATGATGTGTAATGTAATGTGATGCAGTGCAATATAATGTACTATGATGTAATATGTAATGTAATGTGATGCAGTGCAATATAATGTACTATGATGTAATGATATGTAATGTAATGTGATGCAGTGCAATATAATGTACTATGATGTAATATGTAATGTAATGTGATGCAGTGCAATATAATGTACTATGATGTAATGATATGTAATGTAATGTGATGCAGTGCAATATAATGTACCATGATGTAATGATGTGTAATGTAATGTGATGCAGTGCAATATAATGTACTATGATGTAATATGTAATGTAATGTGATGCAGTGCAATATAATGTACCATGATGTAATGATATGTAATGTAATGTGATGCAGTGCAATATAATGTACTATGATGTAATGATATGTAATGTAATGTGATGCAGTGCAATATAATGTACTATGATGTAATATGTAATGTAATGTGATGCAGTGCAATATAATGTACCATGATGTAATGATATGTAATGTAATGTGATGCAGTGCAATATCATGTGCTATGATGTAATGATATGTAATGTAATGTGATGCAGTGCAATATAATGTACTATGATGTAATGATATGTAATGTAATGTGATGCAGTGCAACATAATGTACTATGATGTAATGATATGTGATGTGATGCAGTGCAATATATTGTACCATGATGTAATGATATGTAATGTAATGTGATGCAGTGCAACATAATGTACTATGATGTAATGATGTGTAATGTAATGTGATGCAGTGCAATATAATGTACCATGATGTAATAATATGTAATGTAATGTGATGCAGTGCAATATAATGTACTATGATGTAATATGTAATGTAATGTGATGCAGTGCAATATAATGTACCATGATGTAATGATATGTAATGTAATGTGATGCAGTGCAATATCATGTGCTATGATGTAATGATATGTAATGTAATGTGATGCAGTGCAATATAATGTACTATGATGTAATGATATGTAATGTAATGTGATGCAGTGCAACATAATGTACTATGATGTAATGATATGTGATGTGATGCAGTGCAATATATTGTACCATGATGTAATGATATGTAATGTAATGTGATGCAGTGCAACATAATGTACTATGATGTAATGATGTGTAATGTAATGTGATGCAGTGCAATATAATGTACCATGATGTAATGATATGTAATGTAATGTGATGCAGTGCAATATAATGTACCATGATGTAATGATATGTAATGTAATGTGATGCAGTGCAATATCATGTGCTATGATGTAATGATATGTAATGTAATGTGATGCAGTGCAATATAATGTACTATGATGTAATGATATGTAATGTAATGTGATGCAGTGCAACATAATGTACTATGATGTAATGATATGTGATGTGATGCAGTGCAATATATTGTACCATGATGTGATTTTTGATTTACGGGTATGTAAAACAAAATTACATTAACGGATGTAACTGATAACTTTTCCAATGAAATCCTTAGCACCCCGTTGGCAGGCCAGTCACACTGGTTCTCACCACAAGAGGTTACGATCCCCCCTGCCAAATGCTAAGTACAACTGAAACTAATATCTACATATTTACATGAAAAATTGTCCACCTGTGCGGATCTATTTGTGCAGGAGTTTTACGACCGTATGCCCTTACTGACGTCAACCGAACTTGTTATGTGGGAAGTTGGCACCCAAGGCTCACAGGTGCTACACCTTGCCCAAGGATGACCTGGAGGTAGTTGCGGCAAAGGGTAACCTCATTCTCCCGAGTACAAAAACTCCGCAACCGGATGCAATTTTAACGTCGTACCCAGGACATAAAAAATATGTTTTAAAGCTGAAAACCGACACTACTAAGCCATGAGGCCAAACCTGTAACAAACCGGGAGCGCTGAAAAGCACCGTGTTCACCCGCGCGATCAGTGTGTTGAGGAAAATGACAAGCCAAGAGGGTGGCAAATCAGTGTTTGTGTGTGTAGACTGATATCCACCATGAGAACAAAATCCTCTGACACGACTAATGTCACGAAACCAGGGAGTACCACAACAATTACCAAAGCGGAGCGAAGGTTCTTAAATTTGGCAGGTCTGGAGGTAGGCATTGACAGACAGTATAGTGGTGGAAATGAGCAGCTGACCTTGATTCTTATGTTACAGCCGATTGTAATGATTACAGATAATGATATAATCTGGTACTAGGGCGAGTACAGTTAACAATTAACATAGTCACCTTGCATTAGAGAGGTTTGATGACTTTCAGCAGCATGATAGAATTCGACACTTGTACAAAACTTACTTTTTTCCATTTTTCAGCTGTATTGAGTCGACTAGTGTCATCTACAGCAGGAGGTTGTAATATTACCAACGTCATTTTGAATTTCTTCACACCGATTGGTTTCAATTCTGCAGGTTCTATGTTGTCACTGATCGTAGAAACTCGGCTAGGCACTGGTACATCTGGTGATTTGGACACTACTGGACTTGCAGCTGCTTTAGGAGTTGGCTTCCTTGAAAATAATCCAGCCCTATCGATATATTAAACAAAGGTATTCACATTTGTTGTTGTTTAATTGTAATTGTTATTTTTCATTTGTATTTAGTTTATATCGATAAACAATGACTTTCTGTATTGGTTCGTTTTCATTTCATTCGATTCCAAGCATTATTCACTGAGATGAATCAGTTTCATGCTTGATTTCACCTCATAATGCATGTATGTCTATTACAAAGAAACACAAATCAGTTTATGTAAACCATTCATGTAATGATCACAAATATGCTCTTATCACAGCGAGCGCAAGAGAAGTCGCAACTTTGTAGCAGATTAAGTCGCAATGTATAATCAATAGTAAACTTCTCACATGGCAAACCAATCACAGTGTTTCCCTCCAATTTTAAAATCCGAGATGTAAATCCGATTAATCCACATAAAGGGTGTTTCAGTGTTTCACTTTACACCTATAAATTAGAATGATGACTAAATTAGAGTGTTTACAGTACTCAAATTCCTGTTTTCATTAATATTTATATAAAAAGTTTTGTTTTTTTTGAGTGTTCTTTGTCTTGGGATGAGTGTAATCCGTGGTCAGATTAAATTATTTTGATGTTGACGATGTTTAGACCATGTAAAATAACATCCAAGATGTGCCGTGCATACAATCAATGCTGATTATTGTTTTATTTTCTACCATGGTCCATATTTTGAGATGGTGGGGAAACAGTCACTATGTATTTGCAAATAATAAGTGAATTTTGAATGAGTGATACAGGACAAAACATTAAAAATGTCAACTATGGGAATTGTGTTACTGGTCTGTGCCAACTTGTCAAGTCCTATTTTGAAAGATGTACATTTGCAGGATTAGTTTTAAAATTGGACTTCAAAGTTGTTTTAGACTGTTTTCCCCTTACACATAATAATGAAGTGGCAAAATATAGTGTGCGTAAACTAATTCACTAATTATGACAGTACTCACTGAGGTCTGTATCTATTTAGTGGAGGTACCTCTGACACTGGTCCTCCTTTGGATAAATGTAAATATGCTCTCTGGATATCTGCAGTGTACAATCTGGCCGGCTGTTGCAGAAACACCTGATAAAACACAATAAAGTTGAACAAATCAAACAAAGTCACATTATCTGAAGAGTATTTATCATTTTTCAATCAATAAAAACAAACCTCAAACAACACACTCAACGCAAGATATGAGAGCCTTTATAGATGTATGGTAGAATTAATAAATTCTATGCATATACCACAAATCAATGGGTATTGTATTTCACATCATACTAAATAAAATTAAAACTAAGAACAAAACAAATCTAGAATAAATACCAGCTCTATGCTGAACTGGTATGTGCAATTCTTAATATCCTGGATTAATGAGCTCAAACATTCTTTTCCCTTTCTTGCAGGACATTCTGTTACAAGCTAATTTTAATATCAACTGTACAATGACAATGCACAGAAAATATATGCACTGTTTTTGAATGCATGGCTTGAGCAACAGAAACATTTTGTGAATTTTTAATTCACAACCAATTTTGTTTAAACAATTTAGAACCAAAAATTCACCATTTCTCATATGTGTACATGTAGATGTTCTATTAGAAGTCGTGTCCACTATGATACATTGTACCTTTTTAATAGAAGTAGCTGCTTTCAATATAGAATATTTAAATCACATATAAGATTTAGATGTGAGCGTCTTTTATTAGATTCACCCATGCTAATATGCTTGAAAAAATTTGGACAAACCTGTTTCATTTCATGGTAGTCTGTTGTTTCCAGGAACATCTCTCTTAATAACAATATGATAGCAAGGCAGACGTTTTCTATGACTTCATGTTTCCATTTATTCATAAAACATTGATCCCACACATACAGAACAGCTTGGCCATCAAGAACGCCTACAAAACCCTGACATAACAAAGCCAAGTAAACATTGAAAAAAATAAGATGCAGCAAGGAAGACATACAAGAGCTCGAACCACCATTTTGCCCAACAAAATGTTGGTGCCACATTTTCATGTACTTTTCTATGTTGCTGTAAAATACTTTATTCTAGCTGGAATTAATTTTTGCTGAAAAGTGTTTTTAGGTGTTTTGTATGGAATTATTTTCACTGATTTCTGACAAGTTGAATGTGAAATATAGGAAAAAAGGTATATTCGCTGGATTTTATTTTCACTGAATCATTCCTTCAGCGAAAATAGGAAAAATTAATTCCAAGCGAAAATAAAGTATTTCACAGTAATATTGAACAAGATGGGAAAAAAAATTGTTTGGCCAAAGGTCTTGATCATAACTTTTCAACAAGCAACCTGTTGGCTGATATAGCTTGGCTGTATAGTTAGATGGTTTAAAATAGCATTACCAATAATATAACAAAAATATAACTTATTATCACCAATCAGTCACAGGTCCATCCAATATATCTACAAATAACATATCAAAGCAACTGGGCTAGCCACAATAAAGAATATGTCAAAAATAGCATTTTTTACAAAAAAGTATTATCACAAAATGAACAAATTTGACTCAGGTCCAGGAGTCTGCATATAAAATATTGAAGGAATTGGATTTTGTGGAGTGGAGCTAAAAGTATGAAAACCATCGTGTCGGTTGACTTTATGAAAAGTAACTGAAATGACTTTGGCACTCTGATAGCAATAATTGTTAATTATTTCTTCAATTATAAATTCTTCTATATAAAAGCATTAATTCTCCTTTAGAGTATAGATTACTAGAATAGTGTTTGTCACAATTACATATTCCTACTAAAAATAGAATTGTCGTAATCATAAAACTGTTATAAAAATTATGCATGCTGCAAATTTTGATTTCATTTTTCATTTGTTTATTTGAATCAAATGCCTCCATGAATAACTTTTCACATGACGCTATTGAGTTACTCAACTCACCTCTCCAATCCATTTTCTAATGAATATAACAGGGTCTGCCAATAATTCCTTAGACATCATGATAGATTTCTCAGATCCAGGAGTTGCTCTGCCCAGTGCTAAGGCTTTATCTTTCTCAATATGAATAAGATGAACAAGGAATTGCTAAAATGAATAATAAAAAAAAAGACACTCTGAAAATTATTTGGGATGCAATGGGCAGTTATCGTCATAAAATAAAATCGGACACAGTGCTATCCAAGGTACCAACATCTCATATACCGGGTATTATAAAAATAGCATTTATGAGACGTTTTTACCAACAAAATTAGACAATATCAACAATAAATTATGTAAATTGCTTTAATTTTCAAAGAGACAAATTTTCATGAATTTCGTAAGTCAGTGACTTTCATAAAATTTTGACTTCACAAATTCAATAAATTCATCAAAATCGTGAAAATTTCACATTGAAAATTAAGCAGAATACAGTAAACAAAGCAATCAGACTGATAGTTTTAAAGATGAGTATCACTTTTTTTCACCAAAAATTCACAAAAAAAAATTCAACAGAAATTTGAGAGTTGAAGATATCAGCACATAATAAACAAATCGGATAGTAGTCCAGCAACAGTACTCACATATCGATTATCTTGTGTATGATATTATTTTGTTGGAAATATAAATCGTCAGAAAACAAATACCATTCAAAAAAAAAAGAAGGAAGATGAAGGACAAACCAACTGGCAAGAGTGGATATTTTTTTTCAGGTATAATTTTTCCAATTGGTTTTCCAGTTGGTTTCGTATGGTAATGTGTTACACTGACTGACTGACTGACTAAGGACACATTACCTTTGCGTCCAGGTCTATATTCTTCAATGCACAATCTTGTAAATGATCTGCCAAGTCAGTATCTTCCTGGATTATCTTATTCATTGTACGATCTGCCATAGCAAATATCTCAGGCCATTTTGGAAACACATTGGACATGAATAAATCCAAATACATTGCCAACTCATATGGTTTCTCCTCTGAAAAGTAAGTGAATAGAAAATCCATAAAAATGTAACTGCCATGTGGGGAAAGAGGCATTTCACTGCATAAGTCCTACATACCAGGTTAGTAGGAGGGCTATAACTTCTATGATGGCATAAAGCGATTGTAATGTAAATAATTATTTAGTTGACCCAAATTGATTGACAGTTACATTATATACGCATAATTTTTGTGAGAAATGAACCACAGTACTGTTTTGAACAAATGATTAGTGCAAGTCATATCACACCATCCACTTTCAAACTGTTTCATTAGCCTAAACACAATTCAAAATCTGACCTGGAAAGACTTTTAGAATCAACCTCCTCCAATTTATAACAGAACAAAATCTAGAACTTGATTAGTGATCTTGTTCCAAATTTGATGCCTTGTACATATTGAAACTTAAAGATCTAACACTAAAACTTACAACATGCAATAAAATTCCCTTGTACCGTACTTATCCGGGTAAGAGCCCATGCCTTGGAAAACGCCCACCCCCCACTTTTGACACAATAAAGGAGTTAAGGTCATCCGGGCACACGCCCAGGGGGTCTTTTTCTACACAAAAAAAAACAAACTATTATCTATTCGTTGACTGTGGTTGTATTAACAGTTGACTTTCTTGAAGACTGTCGTGATACTTATAAAAAATGTTAATTGCGTAAAACAAGGGGTGAACGCAAAATAGCTGTGACAGCTTTCTGCCTTCAGGGCAGCGCGTTCACCGCTGATTTTTTTCAGAATCATAACAGTCAGCAAGTCTATAAAAATAAATATAAAAGCAGAAACGGTAGTTCTCTTTTTGAAATATGTCGTAGCCCTAAAAAGGGCCGGCCGTTTGGTTTGTGCTTCTTTAGAAACGATTCAAGCAAATCGCATAAGGAGAGCCGGTAAGCAAGTGTCGCACTCGTCCGGCTTTAGCGTCATCGACAATGAAACCAATGTTGCAATATTGTAGCAACCTGTACCTTGGAGAATGATTGAAATCACGTTATGTTGGCTTTATAAACGCAAAATAACTGTGCCAGCTT